TATTTTGAAAAGTGGGTTTGTATATTTTGATATACTTGTACTTTTGGTATCTCCCCGATTTGAATTTATTGTGTGTGTGTGTGTATATATATATATATATTATATTTATGGTTGACTTATTTGATAAAAAAGGTTTTTAAATCATTGTTTAAACGTCTAATTAAAAAGAAAAAATTTGGGTTAGCCACTTTGGTGGTTCTGTGTGACATTCTAATCGATCGATTATGTGTTGAATCAATTTAGAGTATTACATACACGTATTCAAATCCTTTTAACAATAATTTATTGACTTAATGGTACTTCAAACATTCAAAAGTTACCCAAAAAAGTCAACATGGTCCCTAATTGTTTTTATACTCAATTTGATCCTTAAACTAAAGTTCTTTTAATAATTTAATTTTATAAAAGTTTTATATTTGATGGATTAAATATCTTAATAATTATTTATAATTTATATTTTATATTTTAAATTTAAATATTTTTATTGTTTTTTTAAAATTAATTAAGTCCTCAAACTTTCTAAAAGAAATAATTAAGCCCTCGAACTTAGCCAAAAAATTAATTAAGTCAATCTATCATATCATCGTCTATCATGTACTACTATAATGACGTCGTGATCTATCACATCAGTATTGGAGATTACCATATAAAGTTTGTGAACTGTCATGCAAGCATTGTGATAGTCAACGTTTGATTCAATTAATCAATGGGTTATATTGATTTTTTTCTTAGTTTAAGGGTTACATTGAGGGCAAAAAAAGTTCAAGCGCTACAATAAAATTTTCCCAAAAGTTTGAGGGCCTTAAATACTAGTAAACATATATATATATTTATTTTAATGACACTTTTGTGTGCTTTTATTTACAAAAATATTCTTTTAATAATTTTTTATCAAATTTATTATTTTATATTTGCATAAATCAAATAATAAATTCATGTAATTAAATTTTTTAATAATTATATTTGAATATAATTATTTAATAACTATTTGTTCATCTCTATTTTAAAGAAATAGACATCAAATGCATTTAAACTATTTTTTATTCAAGTTTTTATTTATATTAATCAAAAATGTTTTTTTAATTTTCAAAATATTGAAAATAAAAATTATTTTCTAAAAATAAAAACAGAAAATAAAAATAGAAAAAATATTTTCTAGAATAAAACAGATCATAAAATTCTCTTAATATTGTTGGACATACTATTTTAATGGTAGAATGACATTTTAACCATGATCTTATCATTTTAATTTTCAATTTTTATCATATTTTCATTTATTCTTAAATTTTTATTTTTTATCAAATTAATCTGAATGTGAAAAGAATTAGGATAATTCTTCTACGCTCGACGAGCAGCAATGAGCACCACTAATGATGAGCACTATTAATTTAATTTATAAAAATTTAAATTCTAAAGGACTAAACGTATGATTATAAATTAGTTACAAATTTAAATATAAATTATTTAAAATAAAGGGTTAAATATACCAATGACCACTTGATTATTGCCCATTTTCATTTTGATCAATATTTTTAATTTTATCAACCAGGTCACTCAACTATTTAAATGCATTCAATTAAGTCACTTGCCATTAATATTTAACGGAGAAGCTGACGTGGTAGTTAAAATATTTAGTATAATTACACATTTGGTCACTATTACTTATATATTATATCAATTTGGTCCTAATTTTAATAAATTAAAATAATCTTAACCCTCAAATCAAATAGTGCCATGTATAATGATCCAAAATCCAACTTTTTATTTTTATTTATTTAAAATTTAAAAGTTACGACATATTTTATATTTATAACAAAACAAAATTTATAACAAAATATTTTTCTAAAAAAATGAATAACTCAAGCAATAATTTATTATCTTAAATTTAAAGCAAACTAAATTTATCACCCTTTTGAGATAGGACAATCTCTTAGTGCAAAATTTTCCATGCTAAGTCCACCGAGAATCTTATCAGTATAAACTTTTTTTAAAGATGGATATAAAATTTTATGGTATGAGGTGAATTTTTAAAATTTTAAAGGAAGATTCTGTCAAACGTGAAAGAAATATATGTCACATTTTTCTATTAGAAATTTACAGGATATTTTTTTTTTAGTTTTACAAGTTATATTATATCACCTTTTTTCTAGTAGAATGACATTTACAAATAATAATAGGATAAAAATTTTGTGCAGCGAATTTTATATGCATAGGCTAATTAACTATATTTTTCTTAAAACCAAAAAGATGTTATGGTACCATTGACGGGATGCTTCTAAGAATCATAAATAGAATTTCTAGTAAAAAATATTGTTATAAATATAGAATATGTCGTAACTTTTAAAATCTTTCAAAATTAAACATTTGAGGGTTAAGTTTATTTTAATTTATTAAAATTAGGACCAAAATGATAGAATATATAAGTAACAGTGACCAAATGTGTAATTATACCAAATATTTTAACTGCAACATCAATTTCTCTATAAAATATTAATGACAAGTAGCTTAATTGAATGCATTTAAACAGTTGAGTGACTTGATTAACAAAATTTCAAAAATATTGGTCAAAATGAAAAAGAGTAATAATTAGGTGGTCACTGATATAGTTTACCCTTTATTTTAAATAATTTATCTTTAAATTTTTAATTAATTTATATTTATACATGAAGTCCTTTAAAAATTAATTTTTTATAAATTAAATTAATAGTATTCGTCCTTAGTGGTGCTCATTATTATTAGTCGGGCGCCATAGAATTTTTGAAAGAATTAACGTCCACATTAAATTCACGTTAGTTATTTTATCATATTTATGGTGCCATTATTGTGTGACGCGTGGGTTCATTAGTCAAAATTGGAGGACTATTACAGTCAATGGTTTTTTCTTTATTATTTAGGGAAAACTATATTGGTGGTCACTAGACTTTTAATATACTTTCAGTTTACTCATTAAACTTTTAAAATTTGCATTACAATCATCAAACTTTTTTTTTGAACAAACAATCATTAAACTTTTAATTTGCATTATGGTCAATGTCATTATCTATCATTAAAAAATATTGACATGACATGTTAAATTATTCTCCCCAAAAATTATACCTCCAATACCAAAATTTTAATAATCAGAGTAATCCTCATTCGATCATAAAGTTGGGAATGATCAATTTGGTCAGAATATTAACATAGTTTGATTTCAAGTTGATCTGACAATAGATAATGATAGATTAAAAAAACTTATACTTTTAGTTTTAATTATGGTTTACTTGAGATTTGATGAGATTAAAAGGTTTTCTAATTAGTTTGAACTAAAAGAAAGAGAGAGAGAAAAAAGAGAATAATTAGGTGATATTTTCGACCGAAGAAACTATCAAATGGAGGTAAAACGAAGATTTTCTATGTGAAGACCTAATAAAAACTAAAAGTTGAACTTTTTTAGTCTGCCACTATTAATCATCAAATCAACATGCAATTGAACTATGCTAATCTTCTGACCGAACAAAACCCTTCCACCATTGGGATTAATCGATGACTGCTCCGTCATCGAAAACTCAGCTTTTATAACGGCTAACAATTTGAAAAATTAGTTTTTTTTAGGGGAAGAAGACTCTACTACATCAACATTTTCTAACAACTAATGACAATAATTGTAATGAAAGCAAAATAAAGGTTTAGTAACTATAATTCATGTTATAAAAGTTCAATGACCAAAATGAAAGTATCCTAATAGTTTAATTACTATCATTGTAGTTTACCTTATCTTTTATTGTTATTGTTTCTTAGTGGTAGATCTGAGTCAGTCAGTTGAGTCCCACGTAACCTTTTTTGTCTGCTCATAATTTTTTTCCAACAAAGGTCTGGTCATATTCTTCGTCACTGTCGCTTTGTGGCCCTTTCTGTTTGGATTTCACATTGATTTTTATTCAAGTCTTAATACATAAAGCGACCCTTTTACTTTAATAATTTTTGGGGTAAAATTTGTCTTTAGTACCTAAACTATCAGTTTTAGTCTATTTTACTATCTAGACTTTCAATTTTTTCAAAACCATACATAAAGTTCAATTTTTGTTTCATATTAATGCCTGTTCAAAATTTAACGTTAAGTTTTGAAAATATTGAAAGTTTAGGTACTAAAATGGACCAAAACTGATAGTTTAGGTACTAAACACATTAAGTTTTTAACTGCGGGTACTAATATGAAACAAAAACTAAACTTTAAGTATGATTTTCAAAAAACTGAAAGTTTAAGTACTAAAACTGACAAAAATAGACAGTTTAAATACTAAATGCGTAGTTTACCTATAATTTTTTATTTGATTCTTTTACTATATTATTAATTTGACCCCTCAATCTTTAAACTATTATTACTTTAGCTCTTTAATGTTTTCATATAAAAAAGTAGCGAAGATCAAATTTTATTTTGTGTAATAAATATCATTTCAAATATTCCTTTTACATGTGGTAGAATTTGAATGGGCTACATCATCATTTTTTAGGGTTTTTTACCCAATAGGGAAAACGGGTAAATTATTTGAAAAAATATGACAAGTAAAAGTTTATTTTGAGATTTATGATATTTTTTATCGTGTTCATAGAATTCGTCACCTCGACGTGATGAGTTTGAATAAAAAAAGTATTTTTTATTCAAACTCATCATATCGAGATGACGAGTTTAAATAAAATACAGTTTTTATTAAATTTTATAACATCGAGGTAAAAGTTTGAATAAAGAAATATTTTTATTAGAACTCATTACCTCGACGTGACGAGTTTTAAGTCACTATAACAAATATTTGGATAATTCAATTTTCATTACCCAAGAAGCAAAAGGATGCTACAAGATACAAAGTCAATAAATAGTACCTTTAAGTATAGCCATGACAACAAGCAAAGCTATTTACTGATTGCAAAGAACAGAAAAACAGCAGAACAAACTCTGCTTAAGCAATGCCCCATTTATCACAAAGAGCAGCGTTGATCAAATCTGCTCTGCTGAAAACCAGGCTCTACAGGCGAATTCGAATGACTTGCTTGATATCATCCAGCACGTCGTCTTTAGTTCTGTTCCTTTTACCAAATAATTTGCTATTTCGTTCCATCCAAATGCCATATATGTTACCAGTCCAAGCAAGATTTAGAATCCGAACAATGAGAGATTTACCTTTAAAAAAACAAACAGCCCAGGCCAGTTCACTGTCCCAGCTGCTAACTCCACGGTTGATGCCACATAGTCCAAGGACAGAGCCCCACAACTCCTTAGCAAAGCTGCATTCAATAAACAAGTGCTCTCTTGTCTTTGTCATAGTGCCACACATCAAACACTTGTCGGTTTCGATGGATAATCCCATATGCACGAGCCTAACCCGAGTAGGCAGTATGTTTAGCATTGCCATCAATGTCATAATGCTGAATTTGGGAATGCACCCAGAAAACCAGATTAGATGGTGCCAGGGTACTTTAGGGCCAGTAGCACGCAAATCATCCAAAACTTGCCTTGTGCTCAGATGACAAACCTGACCTGTGAAGAGATGAGCAATTTCATATATGATTTCCAGCAGATGTTTGAAATTCCAACTAGCATTAGCAGGGACTGCCATTTGCCAAAAATCAGCATTTATAATAACATAGGAGTGTATCCAAGCCATCCAGAGGGAACCTTCATTAGCCAAAAGCTTCTTGATAAGCTGCACAGTGCAAGACTTATTCTAGCACCCAATATCTTGCAATCCCAATCCCCCTTCAGATTTCAAGAGGCACATTTTCTTCCAACTAACCCTTGCACCATTTGCAGGTACATCAGATCCCTTCCAAAAGAAGCAGGAACATAATTGCTCCACTTTCCTAATGATCGCATGCGGCAAAATAAGCTGCCTACACCAATAGTTCGAGATGCTTAGGAGTACAAAACGAATAAGTTGTAACCTCACAGTAAAGCTGAGATGCTTATTTTCCCAAGAGGCTAGCTTCGCCCTGAGTTTGTCAATAAGGGCTTGACAGTCCTTCACAGCCAATTTCCTCGTGACCAGAGGAACACCCAAGTACCGAACTAGGAGGGCACCCAATCTAAAGCCAGTAAAATCCCTGATGAGACTGCTCTACATAGTAGGAATACCAGCAGCATATATCTCACATTTGCTAGCATTCAACTTCAAGCCTGATATGGAATAGAAGTGATCCAGGACAGCCTGTACCCCCATGACAGAATCGATAGCTCCCTTGCAAAAAATGAGCAAATCGTCCGCAAAGCAAATGTGTGTGAGCCCAATCCTTTTACACTTGGGATGATAGCCAAAGACCCCATTTAAAGCAGCCATGTTTAAAAGATTAGAAAACACATTCATGGCCAACACAAAAATATAGGACGAAAGGGGATCACCTTGCCTCACACCTCTAGCTCCACTAAAATATCAAACAAGAGTACCATTGAGGACAATAGAATACCTAGGGTATGCAAAGCAAGCCCATACCCAGCTAATGAATTTTTCAGGCAACCCTAAAGCATACATAATCACACCTATAAACTCCCAGTTCAAGGAATCAAAAGCCTTCTGCAAGTCAATTTTGAGTGCACATCTAGGAGACATATTCTTCCTAGAGTAGCCTCTAACAATTTCTTGGGCTAATAAAGTATTATCAACTATGCTTCTTCCTTTCACAAATGTAGTTTGGTTCATAGAAATCATGCCAGGAAAGACCGAAGAGAGTCTATCCACTAAGATCCTAGTGACAGTTTTGTAAACAACATAGCAGCATGAGATTGGCCTAAAATCTTTAACTAGGCTCGGATTCAGAACCTTAGGGACTAACACAACAACTGTTGCATTGAATGAGGGAAACATAAAAGAATGATCGAAACAGTACCTTATTGCTGTCAGGAAGTCTTCTCCTACAACCGCCCACGTTCTCTTAAAAAAGAAAGAATTATAGCCATCTGGAGCAGGTGACTTATTATTCCCCTGCCCCCACAAGGCCTCCTTAATTTCAGCATCAGAGACATCCTTGCATAAGTTTTCAGCTGCACACCTTGGTAACGAATATCCAAGTAACTCCTTAATAGTGTTAACGTCACTGTCCTTGACCTTAGGATCAGCTACACCCAACTGGTTCACAAAGAAACCAACCACTTCATTAGACATGGCCTCAAAAGTGTCAAGTCTTTCACCTCTTTGATTGAATAACACTCTAATTGTGTTGTTCTTTTTCTTGCTAGCAACCATAGAGTGAAAGAAGCAGGTACCCTAGTCACCATCTTTGATCCAATATGCTTTTGCTTTTTGCTTATAGAAAAGCATCTCAGCCTCCTCAAGGGTCTTTAATTCCCTCTCGGTTTCCATTTCAGCATGAATGTTCATACCAGCAGTAAATGGATCGAGATTGGTAAGCTGCAATCTCCTTAATTCCTCCCTTTTATCTCTGACTTACCCGAAAATATCACCGTAACAACTTCTATTAAGCTTTTTGAGGGATCGTTTCAATCTTTTTAGCTTAAGGTAAAGAGTTTGCAAAAGGTTAGCAGTGACAGGAGCCTGCCATGATTCCCTAACAATGGCCATGAAGTTTGGATGCTTAGCCCAAAAGTTGAATAATTTAAATGGTTTAGGCATAACAGCAGGGATATCCTTGTGCAACCAGACAAGTGTTGGGAAGTGATCAGAAACCCTAGGGGCCTGGAATTCAACATCGGAGGCTGGAAAAACATCAATCCAGTTGGAATTAACAAGGGCTCGATCCAACTTACGTGCCAAGAATGCATCTTGCTGCTTATTTGTCCACGTGAACAATGGGCCAGTGAAAGGATGATCGAACAGACCAAGTCCCTCCACGCAGTTCTGAAAATCAAATATATCTGCCAAGGTACTAGAATTAACTGGAGCAGAACTTTCCTCAACATTTAAAATGGCGTTGAAGTCGCCACCTATTAACCAAGCTTTACTGCCCACCAAAGCTTCCAAAGAGTTAAGCTGATCCCACAAATGCTTGCGAATAGAGCTGTCATTCGACCCATAAACTGCCGAAATACAAAAACTAGTACCCCCCCAAGCAGCCTTCAAAAGTTATACTTTGGTCAAAAGTAAATTTGATGGTACAATTAACACTTTTTTCCAGAGGACCCAGATACGCCCATTGACATCATGCCTATAGTTACAGCAGTAATGCCAATCACTAAACTTATTCAACAGAATAGCAGCATAATTGATCTCCTTCACTCTAGTTTCTAAGAGACATAAGATGCTGACTTGATTTCTAGTAGCCCAATTCAGAACCTTAGCTTGCTTAAAGGAGCTATTAAAGCCCCTTATATTCCAGAAACATATTAACATGTAGCAATAGTGGAGAAGGAAGCACCACCATCCTTATCCTCAATTTTTTTTGACTTTTTCCACATGCTCTTTTTCTTCGATTTTAGGTCTTGGACTAACTTCGCCACACCCAAGGAAGAACCTCTATGTTTTCTGCCAGAGTCAATAGCAGTGGACTCCAGTAGTTTTTCAGGGTCGATAGCACATAACACTTCGAATTTATTCCTTGACTCACCAATAACCCTGCCCTCCTTTGATGGCCTACCCTTACCCCTCTTAACAAGAGGCTGCTGCTCAGCCTGCTTAACCATGTCCATCTTATCATCAAAAACAATAGCAAGGCAGTTTCCATCAAGAGTAGAAATAGCAGCAGAATTAGTTCCAACACTAGCATCAGCAACCAGTTCAACTTGAGATGTCACAGGTGCAGGAAGTTTTTCCCCAGAGCAAATCACATTAGATGTTCCACTAGAGATATCAACAATAACATTGTCCATTGCCTTATCCACAACAGAAAAAACAATCTGTTGAACATCATTCACATTCCTCTTAATTCTCCAGACCTGCTCAGTCTTTTTTCCATTCCCTCGAGGACAAAATTTTACAGAATGCCCGAACCGTCTACAGTCTGTGCAAGAGGTAGGCATCCAAGGAACCGAAACTCTGACTCTTGCCATTGATCCATCGCACAAAACAACATCAATATAGTCCTGAATTATGGACCCAGCAGGAACCTCGACACATACTCGAGCATATTCTAATCTATCCCTAGCAACAATAACTGAGTCCATATGTAGAGGCTTACCCACAACACTTTCTATATAACTCAAACCTCTCTTGGAAAATAGCTCAAGTGGAACATTAAACAAGTGAATCCAAATAGGCATGAAACAAAAATCAAAATGTAATTCTTTTAAATTGGGTTCCCATTTCCTAAGTAACATCGGCTTATGTTGTACATGCCATGGACCACCATCTAAAACCCAGTCCCTGGCATTCGAATTGGAAAAAGAAAAAACATATAAGTTTGGCCCAGCTATACTCACCTTGACCAGAGAAACCTTACTCCATAGCAGCGTAACTATATTCTGAATGGAACTAAAGCTTGGAGCCAAGCCAATAAATTGCCCAACTAACGCATGCTTCCAGTCCTGAATGCCTTCCTCAAACACCTCTATTGGCAGCTTCACTACACTCGAACCCTCAACCACCTCTGACAGGAAGAACTCCAATTCATGGTCGATACCCGCCACAAAGAGTCCTCGCCAATCTGTTAGGGCATCCCCTGACATAGTACACTAAAACCCCTAAAAATCAGCCACATAACGATGAATAAAATCGCACGATCGGGAAAAAAGAGATTCACCTTCGCCCGCTGTTAGACCAGCTAACATGCACCGAGAGAGAAAGCTTTATTTACTATAACAAATATTGTAGATCCCTAAACAAACTTCTACATACCCTAATTAATTAAACGGTTCGTCGTATTGGGAAAAAAACTCATTTCTTAAGAATCCATCCAACAATTAGAGTAATAATAAATTAAAAAATTAAAAACTTAAATTGATTCAAAGATAATAAAAAGGATGAAATAAAACTTTAACTAAAATAAATACCAGTGACCACATAACTATTGTCCCTTTTTATTTTGATCAATATTTTTAATTTTGTCAATCATGTCACTCAACTATTTAAATGCATTCAATTAAGCAATTTGTCATTAATATTTAACGGAGAAACTTATGTGGTAGTTAAAATATTTAGTATAATTACACATTTGGTCACGGTTACTTATATATTATAACAATTTGGTCCTAATTTTAATAAATTAAAATAAATTTAACCCTCAAATCAAATGGTGTCATGTATAATGATCCAAAATCCAACTTTTTATTTTAATTTATTTTAATTTTAAAAGTTACAACATATTCTATATTTATAACAAAACAAAATTTATAACAAAACATTTTTCTAAAAAAATGAAAAACTCAAGCAATAATTTATTATATTAAATTTAAAGCAAACTAAATTTATCACCCTTTTGACATAGGTCAATCTCTTAGTGCAAAATTTTCCATGCTAAGTCCACCGAGAATCTTATCACTATAAACTTTTATTAAAGATGAACATAAAATTTTATGGTATGAGATGAAGTTTTAAAACTTTAAAGGAAGATTGTGTCAAACGTGAAAGAAATATATATCACCTTTTTCTATTAGAAATTTACAGGATATTTTTTTTAGTTTTACAAGTTATATTATATCACCTTTTTTCTAGTATAATGGCATTTACAAATAATAGTAGGATAAAAATTTTGTACAATGAATTTTATATGCATAGGCTAATCAACTATATTTTCCTTAAAACCAAAAAGAGATTATGGTACCATTGACTAGATGCTTCTGAGAACCATAAATGGAATTTCTAGTAAAAATTGTATTTTGTTATAAATATAGAATATGTCGTAACTTTTAAAATCTTTTAAAATTAAACATTCGAGGGTTAAGTTTATTTTAATTTATTAAAATTAGGATCAAATTGATAGAATATATAAGTAACAGTGACTAAATATGTAATTATACCAAATATTTTAACTGCCACATCAACTTCTCAATAAAATATTAATGACAAGTAGCTTAATTGAATGCATTTAAATAGTTGAGTGACTTGATTGCAAAAAAATTAAAAAATATTGGTCAAAATGAAAAGGGGTAATAGTTAGGTGGTCACTGGTATAGTTTACCCTTTATTTTAAATAATTTATCTTTAAAATTTTAATTAATTTATAATTATACGTCGAATATTTTAAAATTTAATTTTTTATAAATTAAATTAATAGTATTCATCGTTAGTGGTGTTTATCATTACTAGTTGAGCGTCATTATTTAGGGTAAACTATTACAGTCAATGGTTTTGTTTTTATTATTTAGGGTAAACTATATTGGTGGTCACTAGACTTTTAATATACTTTCTGTTTAGTCATTAAACTTTTAAAATTTGCATTACAATCATCAAACTTTTTTTTGAACAAACAATCATTAAACTTTTAATTTGCATTATGGTCAATGTCATAATCTCATTAAAAAATGTTGTCATGACATGTTAAATTATTCTCCCCAAAAATTATAAGATTCCCATTTACAACCACCTCCAAGGCCAAAATTTTAATAATCAGAGTAATCCTCATTCGATCATAAAGTTGGGAATGATCAGTTTGGTCAGAATATTAACATAGTTTGATTTCAAGTTGATATGACAATAGATAATGATAGATTAAGAAAAACTTCTACTTTTAGTTTCAATTATGGTTTACTTGAGATTTGATGAGATTAAAAGGGTTTCTAATGAGTTTGAACTAAAAGAAAAAAAGAGAACAAAAAAATTAGGTGATATTTTCGACCGAAGAAACTATCAAATGAAGGTAAAAACGAAGATTTTCTATGTGAAGACCTAATAAAAACTAAAAGTTGAACTTTTTTTAATCTGCCACTATTAATCATCAGATCAACATGCAATTGAACTATGTTAATCTTCTGACCTAACAAAACCCTTCCACCATTAAGATTAATCGATGATTGCTCCGTCATCGAAAACTCAACTTTTATAACGACCAACAATTTGAAAAATTAGTTTTTCTTTTTGGGAAGAAGACTCTACTAAATCAACATTTTCTGACAACTAATGACAATAATCGTAATGAAAGCAAAATAACGGTTTAGTAACTATAATTCATGTTATAAAAGTTCGATGACCAAAATGAAAGCATCCTAATAGTTCAATTACTATCATTGTAGTTTACCTTATATTTTATTGTTATTGTTTCTTAGTGGTAGATCTGAGCCAGTCAGTTGAGTCCCACATAACCTTTTTTGTCTGCTCATAATTTTTTTCCAACAAAGGTCTGGTCATATTCTTCGTCACTGTCGCTTTGGGGCCCTTTCTGCTTGGATTTCACATTGATTTTTATTTAAGTCTTAATACATAAAGCGACCCTTTTACTTTAATAATTTTGGGGGTAAAATTCGTGTTTAGTACATAAATTATAAATTTTAGTCTATTTTATTACCTAAACTTTTAATTTTTTAAAATTATACATAAAGTTCAGTTTTTGTTTCATTTTAGTATCCTGTTCAAAATTTAACGTTAAGTTTTAAAAATATTGAAAGTTCAGGTACTAAAACGGACCAAAATTGATAGTTTAGGTACTAAACACGTTAAGTTTTTAACTGCGAGTACTAAAATAAAATAGAAACTAAACTTTAAGTATGATTTTCAAAAAATTGAAAGTTTAGGTACTAAAACTGACAAAAATAGACAGTTGAAATACTAAATACGTAGTTTACCTATAATTTTTTTTTTATTTTGATTCTTTTACTATATTATCAATTTGACCCCTCAATTTTAAACTATTATTACTTTAGCTCTTTAATGTTTTCATATAAAAAAGTAACGTAGCCCAATCAAATTTTATTTTGTGTAATAAATATCATTTCAAATATTCCTTTTACATGTGGTAGAATCTGAATGGGCTACATCATCATTTTTAGGGTTTTTTTTACCCAATAGAGAAAACGAGTAAATTATTTATAAAATATTATAAGTAGAAGTTTATTTTGGGATCTATGTATTTTTATCGTGTTTATGGAACTCGTCATCTCGACATGATGAGTTTCAATAAAAAATATTTTTTATTCAAACTTATAATATTGAGATGACGAGTTTCAATAAAATATAATTTTTTTATTAAATTTTATCACATCGAGGTAAAAGTATGAATAAAGAAATATTTTTTATTAAAACTTGTTATCTCGACGTGATAAATTTTAAATAAATATAAAAAATATTGTAGATCCCTAAATAAACTTCTACATACCCTAATTAATTAAACGGTTCGCCGAATTGGGAAAAAACTCATTTCTTAAGAATCCATCCAACAATTAGAGTAATAATAAATTGAAAAATGAAAAAAATAAATTGATTCGAAGATAATAAAAATGATGAAATAAAACTTTTAACTAAAATAAATATACTAGGCAAACTGGGTTGAGAGGGTCGCCCTTGCTTTTGCAGTACCCGATCTTGATTAATGTTGGTTGTTGATTGTCGATATTCTTTATTGTTCTTTTATTTGGATACAAGTTATGCGTTTGTGACTACCTTTTCATGTCGCTCGAGTCTAATTTGTGATTTGTCGATAGTCTTTCAGTAGCTTTATTTCCTTTTATGGTTCGTTTGTCGATGCAATCAGATCTGTTTGTATTTATCTTTGTTCGAGTTTCTTGGTTAGGTTTTAATCTTTCTTATATGATCCTTATGTGATCTTAAGTTGTTAGCTTTGTTTCATTGGTTATAGGAAATTGTCCTAATTATATGTTTAATTTACGATTATAATTATAAATCTTCATTATAATTTTAGATATTTCCTATTTTAAATAGAATTATTGGCTTCTATTAAAAACTAAACAAAATATTATCTTTAAATTTAAGGGTAAAGTATACAAATGGTCCTCTGAATATATGATGTTTCTTTGTTGGGTCCCCTGACTATTAAAAGTTACAAAATGGTTCCCTAACTATAAGATATTCCTTTGTTGAGTCCCTCGACTATTAAAAGTTACAAAATGGTCACCTGACTATTCATTATGTTCCAAATTCATCATTTTTCATTAAAAATTTGACGATGATCTGAGTTGGATGTTCATGTGTTTTCTAAGATATGATAAACTCTAATCCTTGAATCTAAAACGAATATCATTGTCGAGACGTTCCTTTTTAAAATTTGGTGTTGATTTAAATATGGGATTTTGTAAAAAAAAATGCCACGAATAATTTGGGACTTGAGTTTCAAAAACAATAAAATTGGTTCGTGGAGTTGCCACCAATATTTGATTAGGGTATGATTGGGCACCCAAAACATATTTTTCATTTTAATAAAATATTAATTTTAATTAAAACAACAATTTTACAGTCTGCGTTACCAAAATTTGAGTTCGGGAGTCAGTTACGCTTGGGGAATGATTAGCACCCCCACAATGCCCTAAATCGGTACCCAATTAATTAATTAGTTGTCATTTCAATAAAAGTTATACGTTCGAGTATAACTTAATTTGATACCCCTTTTAAACACATACAAAGTAAAATGAAACTTAAATGCGTAAATCAAACGAATAAAATTAATTAACTCTTTTACCAACCTTTAATGAGAATAAAGATGTTCAACTATTTAAAGACATCGATACCAGACCTTAGATCCAATTTAACATTCTTTTCTCAATGAATTTTCATTAAAAGA